TTGGAACACCCAAATGTATTAAACAATCAATAACAAACATAAAAGAATTCATTGATAATAATACAATAGTAGGGGACTTTAACAGCTGACATACATCAATAGATAGATCATCTAAGCAGAAAAACAACAAGGAAACAATGGCTTTGAAGGATACACTAGACCAGATGGATTTAACAGATATATTCAGAACTTTTCATCCTAAAGCAATAGAATACACATTCTTTCCAAGTGCACATGGGACATTCTCCAGAATAAATCACATACTATGTCACAAATCAGGCCTCGAGAAGTACAAAGATGGAGATCATACCATGTATATATTCCAACCACCATGCTATGAAACTTGAAGTCAACCACAGTAAAAAATTTGGAAAGATCAAAAATACATGGAGGTTAAGGAACATCTTAGTAAAGAATGAATGCGTCAACCAGGAAATTAAAGAAATTAAAAAAAATACAAGGAAACAAATTTAAAATAATTTGTTAAATAATTAAAAAATTATTAAATAAATTAAAAAATAATTTTTAAATACAAGGAAAATTTAAAAAATACAAGGAAACAAATGAAAATGAAAACATGACAATCCAAAACCTTTGGGATGCAGCAAAAGCAGTCATAAGAGGGATGCATATAGCAATACAGATCTACCTCAAGAAGCAAGAAAAATCTCAAATAAGCAACCTAACCTTACACCTAAAGGACCTAGGAAAAGAACAACAAATGAAGTCTAATGCCAGCAGAAGAAGAGAAATAATAAAGATTAGAGCAGGAATAAATGATATAGAAAAGAAAACAGTAGAACAGATAAGTGAAACTGGGAGTTGGTCCTTTGAAAAAATTAATAAAATTAATAATACTGCTAGCCAGACTTACCACAAAGATAAAAGAAAGGACCCATATAAATAAAATCACAAATGAGAGAGGAGAAATCAACCAACATCATGGAAATACAATTATAGGAGAATATTATGAAAAATTACATACCAACAAATTGGAAAATATGGAAGAAATTGATAAATTCCTAGAAACATAACATACAAACTCCCAAAACTGAAACAGGAAGAAAACTTTATTAAACCAACAAGCAACAAAAAGAAATTGAATCAGCAATCCAAAATCTCCCAACAATCAAAAGTCTAGTGCCAGATGGTCTCATAGGGGAATTTTACAAAACACTTAAAGAAGAGTTAATATTTCTTCTCAAACTATTAAAAAAAATAGAGATGGAGGGACAACTTCCAATCTCATTTTATGAAGACAGCATTACCTTGATTTCAAAATCAGACAAAGGCTCCACTAAAAAAGAGAACTATAGGCCAATATCCCTGATGAACATGGATGCAAAAATTCTCAATAAAATACTAGCAAATTCAACCCACTAGTACATTAAAAGAATCATTCACCATAATCAAGTGGGATTTATTTCTGGGTTGCAAGAGTGGTTCAGTATTCATAAATCAACCAATGTGATACACCACATTAATAAAGAAATGATAAGAACCATATGATTCTTTCAATAGATGCAGAAAAAGCTTTTGACAAAGCACAACATCTATTCTTGATACAAACCCTCAACAAAGCAGGGGTAGATGGAATATACATACCTCAACATAATAAAGCCCATATAGGAAAAAAACCACAGCTAATATCATCCTCAATAGGGAAAAACAGAACTTTTCCTCTACATTTAGGAAGACAAGGATGTCCATCGTCACCACTGTTATTAAACATAGTATTGGAAGTCTAGCTCCAGCAATTAGCCAACAAAAAGAAATAAAAGGCATCCAAATCAGCAAGGAAGAAGGCAAACTTTCACTATCTGCAAAGATACTCTACATAGAAAACCTGCAGGACTCCACTAAAAAATTGCTAGAACCAATACACGAATTTAGTAAGGTCACAGGATATAAAATCAATGTACAGAAATCTGTTGCATTTCTATACATCAATAATGAAGCAGCAGAAAGAGAAATCAGGGAGTCAATCTCATTTACAGTTGCATCAAAAACCGTAAGATACTTAGGAATAAACCTAACCATTTTGTCATTTTCAGCATACAAATTCTGTACATGCTTTGCTAAATTTTTACCTATTTTATTTTCTTTGGAACAACTGTGTTTAAGAATTTTTTTTAATGTTTATATATTTTTGAGAGAGAGACAGAGCTGGGGAGGGGTTAGACAGAGAGAGAGAGACACAGAATCTGAAGCAGGCTCGAGGTTCTGAGCTGTGAGCACAGAGCCTGATGCGGGGCTCAAACTCATGAACTGCGAGATCATGACCCAAGCTGAAGTTGGACTCTTAACGGACTGAGCCACCCAGGCGCCCCAGAACAACTGTGTTTTTAGTTCGTTTTCATATTTCATTGTTAGTACCATATATAGAAATGATTAATTCTTGTGTGCAAGACATTGTATCCTATAATCTTGCTGAACTAATTTATTAATTTGAGGGTTTTTAAAATATTATTTTTTATTTTGAGAGAGAGAGGGAGGAGCAGAGAGGAAGAGAATCCCAAGCAGGCTTTGATGTGGGTCTCCATCTCATGAACCGTGTGAGATCATGACCTGAGCCAAAACCAAGAGTTGAACCCAGGCTTCCCAATTCCTTGGGATTTTCTATCATTCCAATATGGACAATCATATCACCTGCAAATTGGGGCAGTTATATTTTTCTTTCCAATCTTTGTTTTTTTTTTAAATTCTTTTCTTGCCATGGCTAGAACTTTCGGTATTGTGTTGAATGAGTAGTGAGGATGAACATTGTTTTAAGGATATCTGGGATGTTTATACACATATGACAAGCAGACATGGAAAGGACTGTCATGATGTAAGTTCCTTACACTCATGTTCCTTCAGAAGAGGAGGCATAGCACGTCACAGAAAGGGGCCATAAAGAGGAACACAGAGAGGCAGAGAGGGCAGTGGAAAATGTGGGCAAGAGCTTTACTTCTGGTTTCTTTGGGGAGAGATGGGCAAGATGGGATAAGCAGGTTTAGGATCTGCTGTAGGCTTTAGGGTATATGGGCTGTTCCTAGTTGTCTGGTTCCTGGACCTAGGTGATTAGGGTAGGGGGACAGAGCCCTGAGTGTAAAAGCCCAATAAAGGAGGTGTTTGAGGATATGGGCTCTGGATTGGTTGGTTTGCATTTGAAAGGCATGCTTGCTTACCAGTTATTTACTATCTCTAGGAATTGGCTAGCATGGGGAGGGGTAGTTTCTCTAAGGTCAGTGAGGCTTCAGGGTCAAAGCCATCATAATGCAGAAAACTTCTAGCAGACAGGGTTAAAACAGAGAGCGTTGCTTCATTCTCAATCTTAGGAAAGCATTCAGTCTTTCACAAGTATGTAAATTTCACAAGTATGTAAGTTTTAGGTTTTTTGTAGACACTCGATAGTTTCGATTCCAAACCTATTATTGATCATGAATGGATGTGAGACTATCAGATAATTTATCTCATCAATTGATATGATCATTTAATTTTCTTCTTAGGTTTGTGAATATAGTAGATTATGTTAACTGAGTTTGAATGAACCAGCTCTGTGTACCGGAAATTATACCCCATTCATTGGTCATGGTGTATAATTCTTTTTATAATGTTTGGATTCAACTTGCTAATTTTGAGGATTTTTATGTATAAATTTATGAAAAGATTCTCCAGAAGCAATCACATTTCTACATACTAACAATGTCAGTCTGTACTGCTATTTGTACTGTCTTTGTCTGGTTTTGGTATCAAGGATTACCAACAAAAAACAAGAAGAAACAAAATAAACGTGACCTTAATGGTCACCCAAACTACTCTCACATTGTTTGAATTTTGACAGTGTCCATTTTTTATCCTGAGTTTTACTACTAGCAATTTTTTATTGAGATCCTCACATTCTTGGTGTGGAATGTTTATTTAATGCTGTACCTGATAACGCTATTCTTATTTTTTCCCTACCTAAAAAATATCAACTATTTGAGAAAAGGAGTCAGAGCTATGCATAACTTACAAGATCAACTTATTTGTTATAAGCAATTATGTGCCTGATTAGTAACATGAGATTTACAATTAAAAATAGTGACTTAAAAACAGAACTCAAAAACAAAAAACCAAACCAAACCAATCAAAAAGCAAAGGGCTAAGCTTCAGAGGAATCTTAAAATCAAACCCTGAGTAATTCCTACATTATGATCAAATAGTTTAAAGGAAACAAGTCTTTTTCTTTGCATAAATAAGAATAATTATAAACATATTAAGATTCATGGTCTTACAATGATAAGTACATAAATACTGGGAAGTTCGCAGAAGCCATCAATAGGAACACTGCTTTATTTGGCTGAATTACCTAACAATGCCAGTGCTTTATGAAACACACACACATACCTCTGCGTTTTTCTGTTATAATGAGCAATGTCCTCTTTTTTTCTTTCTTCCTTTAGAGACTGTTTATATGTCATTATCTTGATATCTGAGTTTTACATCCTTTTATTCTTAAAAACACATACTACATTAACAGGCTTGAATATTTATACCAAAAATGTCAAGCTTACTATTTACCACAATTCTGTCTAAACTCCTACTGCCTTTCAGAAGTTACCGTATTTATAATTAGTTCTAAGTGACCGTTTTTATTTTATTTACATAGTATATCTAATTCTCCTCTCTAAATCGTTAATAGTTTATAAAACCTAGACCAGAGGAGATCGGGGTATTAAGGCCTTAAAGGTGTGTTTTAATTTAATTTTAAAAAGAATTAAGAATCCTTAAAGCTCTACAGCAGCATATCCACGCTTATAAGCATTCCAAAAATCTGAAGGGCAGACAGAAGAATTTTCTGTTGCTACAAATAGAAAAATCATTGCAGAGCTCATGAACATTTCAAATACAATTATGAGCAATGCAAACCTGAAACTGCCTCTTCATAGAGTTATTCTCTTAGTCAATTTTTCAGGTATTTTTCAGAGAGTGGTTTATTTAAGGCTCATAAAATTAAATAAATCAGTGCTACAAAAAATAAAATATTTTACTTTTATTTACAAATTAATTTCATAAACAAACTATAATAAACATGAACACACAATGAAGTTATTGGCTTCTATCCATTATGGCCAAAAAAATAAATTATTTACATAGGTACCTAATCCTGCCTCCTTTTCCAGAGAAATTAAACGTATTGCATATATATATATATATTTTTTCAAATTGTTCCTAACTCTTATTCAGGCTTAATAACTGGGCACTGCTCTATTTTTAACATAGAATTGTAAACAATCTTTTAAAAAATTAGACCGAGAGTAATTTACTACAAGTATTACTCCATTTCATAAAATACAAAAGTTTTATAAATCATTATTTCAGTTTAATTAAATTCATTACGATTAAACTGGAAATATACAGAACAAATCTGTCAACTATCCACAATTAAGTCAAACTGCTATATGAGGGAGAAATTTTACAATTGTATTTTATTCATATTCTTGAAAGATTGCTTTGTTCCCAATAAATATTCCCTCTATCACTTCAGTACACTTTAGGAGAACACATTCTCAATCCAAAAAGAAACAACAAACAGCTATTTGACTTTTTGTTTTTTTCTTGCTTGAAATTGCTCTGTTTTGTTTTTTACAGATTTAATCAACATTGATAAGGCAGGATCAATGGACCTCTTTTGTGATTCCTTTTGAATTTCACTCTCTTTTTTCTTTACTGCCTGAGTAAGTTCTTGTTCTTTTTGTTCTCTCTGCCGGGCTTTCTCCTCAAGGATTTTTTCCATAGCTTTTGTTTTCTTGAAATTAGGATCTGAAGGATCCAAGTTGAACAAGTGGGAAGTATACATTGCCTGAAACCGTGCATCCTTAACATTTACCTGCAAATGCAAAGGAAAAACAAATAATTAAATTAGTAAATCAGAAGGCCCGAAATGGGGTCAAATTATGGAAGTGAGTTATTCATTATATAAATTCAAATGTGAGCATTTTGTATTGATTCATTAGAAAACTGTTTCCCACAGATCTTCAATGGAATTTTAAGGCCTACTCTAGGAAGTCATTAAGTAGTTGCTGACTGCTGTTTATAGATTTTTTTGTATAGGCTCAATCAAACTCACACACAGGGCCTATGTGACTATTAGGAATACGTACTTACTAGGGAAAAGAGGGAGTGATGGAAACAAGAGGTATAGCAATGAAAAAGGTATGGCCTACTGCAGTGGCCACTGTACATAGTGATATGACGTGACATGAACCTGCTAAATTTCAATCAAGTTTGAGTATGCATATCTTTCTCACTGTGAGCATCACACTGCAGGTCACTGTAACGTTAAAAGCTAGGTATTTTTGGTGCAATAGGGCTACCAAAAGACAAGCCAATACTGCACCTGGTACTCAGCTACATAAGCAGTGATTTGATCCACGCTGGGATGAACTGGCTGTTTTGGACTAAAAGATGGTAGCTTTGGCTCTGCTATGGGCCCTTAAAACATTTCAGGCTAACTCTGGTTGTGCTCAGTGCTCCTCTCCAGTGCTGACTTTATTTTTTTTTTAATTATTATTTTTTTAATGTTTTATCTATTTTTGAGAGATAGAGACAGCATGAACAGGGGAGGGTCAGAGAGAGAGGGAGATACAGAATCTGAAGACAGGCTTCAGGCTCTAAGCTAGTTGTCAGCACAGAGCCCGATGCTGGGCTCGGACCCACGAAGCGTGAGATCATGGCCTGAGCCGAAGTCAGAGGCTCAACTGACTGAGCTACCCAGGCACCGCTCAAGAACTGACTTTAAATTCAATACCAGCCATAAGAAGCTAATGACTTTTGTCCCTTGTTACCTCAAAGTCATCCTCTAATAATTCCTTCTTTTTCATCAGCAGTTTTTTCTTCTTTTTGCTTAGATTCTGATGCTCTACAATCTTATTGTAATTGAAGTGTTTCTTGCTCTCTTCCTCCTCATCCATCATGAGCAGAGCCATTTCAGCCTGTTGAGAGAAAAAAAAGATACACAACATCACAACATACAACAGTGCTTTTTTTTCCCCCAAGCAGAAGATGGGGCACAGATATCCCCTCTGGGAAAGGAGAACCCGGTCATTAATGCTCTGGAACAACATGTGTCATCTATAAACTGATTGTGGATTACCAAAACTCATAAAGAAACCCGAAGATCTTTATAGAGCAACAAGGTAAAATTTTTTAGATGCATCATCAAGAGGAATTCTGAGAAAGGTGAAAGTTTATATTTAAAAGCCAGACATTTCACTTATTATAACTGGTTAATAGGCTGTAGGAGAGTCCCCAAATCCCCCAAATAAATATTTCTCGTTTTCACTTTGTTCTTTTTGTGACACAAACTACTCTTTCCAAATATGTGCTTCAACAGCAAGGTATTTCTTCTTTCTTTTTCTTCTTTTACTTTTACTTTTTTAACACTGATACATTTCTATAAAGGCAGGATCTTAATATTTGCTTCTGAAATCTATTATGTCTGTTTCCGATAAACAGTGGCATTTTCTACTAACCATGGGATTAAACATGAAATCTTGAGGAACTGAGTAAACAAACCATGTGTACTAGAGAAAATATGCTGCCAGGCTTTTGTGAATGATCCTATACTCCCATTTAAATTGCTTTAATTTCCTTTGACTTTCCTCACTGGCACCTTCAGTTGGCTTTCTTTTTTAAAGTCACTTTCAACAAAAGAAAGATTTTCTTTGTGCTTCTTTATGAGCATTACTGTTATGTGCAATAAATGGAGGATAGAAGAGATGCATTATGGTACAGAGTTTCGGTGACCAGTCGGGCTCACTCCCAGGCAGTAACATGAACATCAGTCATACAGACACTGTTGACTCCAATTCCTACCTCAACAAAAATTAATACATGTGAATCTGCACCATGGGTCTTTGGAGTCACTGAAACATAAGGGTCACTGTATTTTCAAGTAAGATTTTACTTTTATACATTAAATTTATGTTCGTTACGTAATGAGAACTTAGCACTTGACAACACAAAAGCAGAGTCTGAATTATAGGACAGATTTGGATTGAATTAAAACTTACGGCAATATTATTTTAAGGTTTTAATAGTAGCGTTTTTGGTCTTAGTTACAGTAAGAATTAAAAAAAATTTTACTGTTTATTTTTGAAAGACAGAGCGAGCAAGTGAGCCAGACAGTGAACAGGGGAGGGGCAGAGAGAGGGAGACACAGAATCCAAAGCAGGCTCCATACTCTGAGCTGTCAGCACAGAGTCTGATGTGGGGCTCAAACCCACAAACCGCAAGATCATGACTTAAGCCAAAGTCAGACGCTTAACCAACTGAGCCACCCAGGTGCCCCAGAGTAAGAATTTTTAATAACGTGTTATTTTCCTCTTAATCAAAGAGGGGCATGCCTTAGGTTTGGCATAAATTTCAACTTTGTACTAGCTGGAAAAACGTTTGGGAAAAAGGTTGTACTTAAAAACTTCACTGCTAAAATATTTAATTAATGTGTTTTATAACTTAGTAATATTGTTATATTTTATATCTTGCTTTTTATACTTTATGTTTATATTTTATATTTTATTTTTTAAGTTATATTTTTATTAGGGACACTAGAAACTCATGTAGACAACTTCATTTAAATTGTACATATCAATTATCCACTAAGCATGTAAGAATCATGTTTTGGGGCGCCTGGGTGGCTCAGACGGTTAAGCATCTGACTTCAGCTCAGGTCATGATCTCACGGTTCATGGGTTCGAGCCCGGCGTTGGGATCTGTGCTGATGGCTAGCTTAGAGCCTGGAGCCTGTTTCGGATTCTGTGTCTCCATCTCTCTATGACCCTACCCTGTTCATGCTCTCTCTCAGAAATAAATAAAGCATTAAAAAAAAAAAAAAAAAAAGAATGATCATGTTTTACCTTTTGTCTTTCTATTTCAGCTTCTTCCATTGGAGATGTGCCATCTTTTGTAGATTTCATTGATTTTTTCTTTTCTTTTATACCTGTCACAACAAATCAACACAGAAGGGGGGAAAACTGTAAGACTATTCATAACCTTCTGTTAATGCTAGGAAAAAAAAAAAGCAAGATATCTAGGGATAATGTTATTAATAAATGTATAGAAACTAAAGACAGTAAAAAAATATTAATGAGTGATGACTATAGATGTGAATAAAATAAATACATCAGAATGAGGTGAATGAATATTATAAAGAAGGAATTTCTTCTGAATGTAATATATGATTACATCATTAACTAAAAAAGAAAAATCACAAGATCATTTTAATAGATATAGAATATGCATTTGATATTCAACATCCATTCACAAAACAGAACAGTGTAGCTTAGTATTTAATAAAATGCAGCACCATGTATCACTGGGAAAAGAAGGGATTACTGAATAACTAGTACTGGGCAACTTACTTTATTCTGGGTAAAATACTGAGTTACAGCATCATCTTATAATGTACAGGAAAATAATGCAGATGGATTAAAGAGTTAAACATTAAGGGGGGAGAGGGAATAACATCTAAGAGAAATTCAGGAGAACAGTTATCAGACCTTAAATAGAAGAAATATATTCTTAGCATAAGAACAATAGAAGAAATAATACACAAAAATGTGATTTTAGTATATAAACACTTAAAATTTCTGTATATAAAAAAGTCATCTGGAAAATGAAACAGACTGGATCTTTGGTTAACTTACTAGTGCTATTATTGGGGAAAACTATTTATGGTAAAAATGGCTCCTTATTGGCACCCTGCTTATATTTCTAGGGACTCAGGGACTTCTGGAGACGACAAGTTGTTAGATGAGATGTTTTCATCCTGAGTAACAGGCAGTCATACATAGCAATTAAAGGCACTGTACCACACTTTGTTGTGGCAGTTTGGGCCTGTGTCCTTGTCTGTAAAAATGGGGATTATAATAACAGTACCTACTTCATGGGTTACTGTGAGGACTAAATAAATTAGTAAATGTGAAGAGGTCAGTTAATAGCTAACACATAGTGCTATAAAGTGCTTCCTATTATTGTTATGATAGTCTGACTACAAATACATAAGATGTCCTGGGCTCCTTGGTGATCATGCTGATGCCTGATTTTTTTCTTCCTATTTTGCATCTGTTGGCGTGAGAGAGATGCAAAGGGAATTGGTGTCAGGGTACTGAAGTATGAAACACTAGTGTAATGAGAAAGGTCATTCAGAATCTACAAAGACATGTTCTGTTGCTCTAGGGTGTTATTACATAATGCCAATCTTTTCTGAACTGCTGAATACGGTCTTCTTTGGCTAAGTTGTGTTCTGTAGTTCCAACTAAGAGAAACCAATGGTTTCTAAGCTCACATAGCACTTACTATTGTGATAGGCAGTAGCACTGTTCTCTTCAATTTATATATATGAACTAATTTAATCCTTGCAACAAAGCTAATAGGTAGATTCTATTATTTGTTATAGTCTTCATTCTGTGGATGAGGAAACCAAAGCACTGAGAGATTAAGTAATTCTCTCAAGTTTAGTAAGTGAAGGAACCATGATTTAAACCTGAGCAGTCCAGCTCAGGCTCTCTACTGTTAATTACTAAGCTACACTCCTTCACTATCAAATGTCATTCTCCTTCTAACAACTCTTTCCATTTAAACTGCATTTTGTGGGGCGCTTGGCTGGCTCAGTTGGTTAGGCATCCGACTTTGGCTTAGGTCATGATCTCACAGTTTGTGGGCCTGAGCCCTGAATTGCTGCATCGGCCTTGGTGCTAACAGCTTGGAGCCTGCTTTGGATTCTGTGTCTTCCTCTCTCTCTCTGCCCCTTCCCTGCTCCTCAAAAAAATTATAAATAAAAATAAAAAATAAAAAAATAAACATAAAAAAATGCATCTTGTTGTGAAATACTAAAATAAAATTTACATAACATGGTTGAATAACTACAGCTAATGAGGGATAACAGGAAAAACAAAGCCTAAAGTGGAGAGAGGCTTTAGAAACTGCTCCATGTGCATGAAGTCCCTGTTGTACTTGTGCAGCCATACCTAGCTGACAGAAAATGCCAGCATAAAAGTGCTGCTTGGGTTCACCCCTCAGTGCTACCAAGGCATCTGTCTACACTTCCAGGAAGAAGTATTTGAAGACACCCCTTCTTCCTAAAGTGAAGATCTTTATTGTTCCGGTCTCAAATGTTCTCCAGGAAATGATGTATCTACTTTCAGATTGTAACATTTTCTCTATTTTAAAGTATGTGTATCTATATATCTATATCTATATGAACATCATCAGGGTTTTACTTTCTTAGGGTTTGACTTCCACACCCTAAGTTTACCTCTACTCCTATGTTCTCAAGGCAAGAGTTCCTTTTGAAGTAAATGGACAAGTGATGTACACAGAAGATCATTCTGTGGTAGGAAAAAAACAGGCTGTATATGATTAATACACAAAGGAGATAAAGATCTTCCTAACAACTGTGGGAAATAATTTCAAAGAACCCACAACGAACTGTTCCAGATTTTATAACAACCTGGTGAAAAGTCATAAAAATAAACTTGAAAGAAAGATTGTAGCAAAGCAGGAAAAAAGAATTTTCAAAATGGTCAGGGCTGAAAATGATATCCAATTTTAGCATGATGAAAATTTTTTTGTTCACAAAGAACTTACTCTGCTGGCCTGAACTGTTTAGTCAGAAGAAAAATAATGTGTAGAGATCCTTCCTGCACTGTTGCACTGTTAACAAGATCATATTAAGAGAATACATCTTAATTTAGAAAAAAAAAAACATTTTTTTTCCTCCTTGGAAAATTTTCAGACCTAAGTCATTTAAGAGTACGAGGGAAATGAAAGTCCCTGTTCTGAAATGTTATATTTGTTTTTAGTAAACTTTCTGGCAAGTAAGAAACCACATGTCCTGGGACTGCTGTGAAAAGTACATATGTATGATTCTAATACACTGACAGAGATTCGAAATCAGATGTTAACTTCAAAAAATAAATCTAAATAATCCTTACTGAGGCTACTATCTCTGTAAGCAAAGAAATGTAACAGAATACATCTATGTAAAAGGATTTGTTACAAAAAATTTGACCTGTAAAAGGAATATCTGTAAAGAAAATTTCATATTCCATTACTTGGAATGTCTGGGAAGTGTTCTCATAAAAAGCTTCCTCCAGAGGGTTTAGCTGAGTACTTCTTAGGAGAATAGTTAAAAGAATTCACTGGAGGGCAAATGCGGTCTCAGTACTGACCAGATTGGAGTGATAAAGCCCCCTTGCAATTCACTGTTTTTGTAGCAAGTTCCAAGATTAACAGATACAAGTCTGTCAATCATCCTCTGGACCTGGGCATTCCAGCTTTGCTTGGAAATCCAGCAATTCCCTATATCTACCTCTTATACACATGAGTCCTGGCTCTGGCTTTGGCCTTCACAACGTACTTACAGAGTTACAAAAAGGAAAGAAATCCCATTAAGTACCATTTACCAGTGGTCCTTGGGCAATTCAACTATGTTTTTTGAGTTTCAATTTACTCATCTGTAAAATGGGCTGAAGTCTGGATTAGAAGACAGAATGCATATAAAATCATTTTAAAACTGTAAGCCAACATATGCAAGCAGCATATAAGCACTCGTCATTCTGCTTGAATGAATCAAGTATGTATACCATATTATTAGATGTTCATGGTAGTCTATTGTTGATCAAATATTTAGGTTGTCAAGACAAAGGTATGTTTTAATAGGGTATATTTACATGTGATGTACTTTATTTCACTACTACTTATTAAAAAAGGTCTTATTAAAGAGCTTATGCAATTAGATAATAAACAAATTTTTCCAATTCAGTCGAAACCTTAACAACACAGAAGTTAGGGGCACTGACCTGTCCCTTCCTATTCCCCCACATGGGTGAAAATCCATACATACCTTTTTTAAAAAAAATTTAAAAAATGTTTCGAGAAACAGAAACAGAGCACAAGCAAGGGAGGGGCAGAGAGAGAGAGAGACAGAGAATCCGAAGCAATCTCCAAGCTCTGAGCTGTCAGCACAGAGACCAATGCAAGGCTCGAACTCAAACTGTGAGACCGTGAACTGAGCTGAGGTCAGACACTTAACTGACTGAGCCACCCAGGCAGCCCTATACCTTCTAATAGCCTACTGTCTACTAGACAGAGACCTTATCAATAACATAAAGAGTTGATTAACACATATTTTGTATATTTGGTTTTTTAATTTTTTATATAATTTTTTAAATATTTTTTATTTATTTCTGAGAGAGAGACAGCATGAGCAAGGGAGGGTCAGAGAGAGAGGGAAACACAGAATCCGAAGCAGGCTCAGGCTCTGAGCTAACTGTCAGCACAAAGGCCGACGCAGGGCTCGAACCCACAAACCGTGAGATCATGACCTGAGCCAAAGTCATAAGCTTAACAGACTGAGCCACCCAGGCACCCCCATATTTTGTATATTTGTACCTACTACATATTATAGTTTTATAATGAAATAATCCAGAGAAAAGAAATATATTAAGAAAATCCTAAGGAAGAAAAAATACATTTATAGTACTATACTACATTTACAAAAAAAAAATCCAAGTATAAGTGGATTCACAGCTCACATCCATGTTGTTCAAGGGTCAACTGTATTTCGTTTCTAAGAGAAAAAATTAATTTTTAACTCATTCTAGAAATACAGTATATTTTTGAAACTCATTTGATATCAAGTTTGTAGTTTGGAAATAAAATAGAAAAAAATATAGCAGGTTTATAGTGTAGGGGAAAAACAGAAGGAAAAAGTGAGAAAAGATTTCTAGTACTCACACTGGCTCCTAACCCAGCAAAACACCAAGTCTGGCATTAATCAATGAACTCAATTCCACCATATTTTGAAGAGTATGTAAGTTTAGCTCTATGGGATTGCCAAGGGCAAAGGTGTTACAAACGTATCCAAGTCCATCTGGCTTAAAATGTCTCTGTCCTGCTCAACCATAGGGGCTTGAACTATACACCCTTCCAAATACTTATGCTTTTCCTCCTATTCCAGAGCTGCTCCTTCTCAGGTTTTTCAACTTTCTCCCTACCTTCCAAGTAGTACCTTCTCCAGTATGACAGAGTAACAGTACCTTGTGTAAGCTTTATCCAACCTGAGAGCCCAATCCTGCATCCTCTTCTCTTACCAATGCTTTTGACTTTAAGTTCCATGGTTTGAAATACTATTTACATGCTACTGATTCCTAAGTTTATATCTGCACTGACTTCTCAGCTGATCACGCAGACTCCTTTATAAATGTAACCTAATATATCTCAAAGTGATTCTACCCAAAATGGACCTGGTGACCTTACCTCCCACCCAAACCTACTGTTGCTACATTCCTTTCTAACTCACTAAATGGAAGAATATTCTTCTAGAGATTCACAGCAAAAATCTAGAGTTATGCTAAATTTCTTCCTTATTCAAATAAGTCTGCAAGTGTATGTCCAAAATATATCTAGAATTCCATTTACTTTTCTCCTTCCAATTTCATTACTGGCATGCTGTCTAAACCAACATCGCCTCTTGAAAAGCCTGGTCTCCCAGCTCGTACCAATGTCTTTTTTTCAATCTGTTCTCTTCACAGGAACCAGAATACATACCAGATCATGTCACGTTCTTGCTTAAAGGCCTTCAGTGGCTTCCTGCTGTCAGGAGAGTAAAATCCAAATGTGTTGCCATGACACAACGCCACATAGGGCTGATCCTGTGTCCCAGCCTGGCCTCATATCAAACTCCTCTGACCATTTTCCAGCCACATTGGGTCTTTCAACACAAGTTCTTTCTCACCTCACAGCCTTTCTACCTACTTTTCCCTTGTTTGCAATGCTCTTTATGCTTAACTTCTTATTCTACAGGTCTTAGCCAAATGTCACCACCTTGGGAAAGCCTTTTTTGCCTCCTGTGTCTAAAGTAAACTACTCTTCCTTCCTCCAAGTTTTATCCTCTATATTACCCTATTTTCTTTAAAGTTTATTTATTTGAGAGGGGGAGAGAGAGAGAGAAAGAACAGGGAAGGGGAAGACAGAGAGGGAGAGAAAATCCCAAGCAGGTTTTGTGCTGTGAGTGCAGAGTGGGGCTCAAACCCACAAACCATGAGATCATGACCTGAGCCAAAATCAAGAGTCAGGCACTTAACCAACAGAGCCACCTAGACACTGCCTTACCCTATTTTCTTTAAAACACTGACCATATTCTTATAATATTCTTATGTGTTTACCTGTTTAGCATGTCTTAATACTACCATAGATTTCCCAAGAAATGTAACCTTGCTTGTATTATTACTGCTGTATCTCTAGCCTAGCAGAATGTCCAGCACCTAGTAGGTAATACTTACTGATAGAATGAATAAACAAACATGGCAAGATACCATTTTTTCATCCTAAAATTTATGTAAAAAAAAAATTCTGTTTTTCTTTTTCCTTTAAAGAAACAACTTCAACCCAGATTACTCTCAGAATATATTCTGAAATCAAAAGTATATTGAAAGCAAACAAATTTTATCTTACTTTTCTTTGGAACTTCTGCTACTACCTTTAGAGAGTTTATTCACAATTTACATGTGCTGATTCCAAGACACGAGCCACCCCAAGCCATCAAACAATTTAACTTACTCTTTGAATCCTGCCCTGAGTTCTACAATCTGACCAGACTGTACATGCCAAATGAAGCACTTTGGAATGAGAACAAGGAAACTATAATGCTTTGCATTTCTCCGTTATAAACTTGGCTTTCTGAGTTCAGAGTATAAGGTTAAAATCCATCATCTTCTAGAAATGACCGCTCAGGTATGATAAAAAGCAGAATATGCTAAGTTTCCATTTCCCTTTCCAATTCCTAAGAATCTGACATCCTATAATAGACTTAATTCATCTTGATCTCCTTTTTCATCAATAAAATGTCAGTGCTAAAAGGCTGTAACAACCAGGAAATAATTTTGAACAATTTTGACTTTCCTGTTGAGAACTATTCTGGCCACTAGTTACCAGGGACAAGAAGCAGGGAAACTTCATCAAATCCTTCTCTTTACAATGCCAGCTTGGAGTTGCTCCAGGAGCAAGCCTTTTGGAGTTTGTGTGTGTGGTATTCCGATCAGGAAAAAGCCAAAATGCATGAGAACAAATGGAAAATGCTTACAGTAGTCTCTGCACTGCCTTGTCTATGTATGACCTGACCTTTACCACACACATTTACACATACCAAAAAAGTAAGAATGAAAGCATTCAGGAAAGAATGAGCAGTGCATAAGTAATGGAAATAAAGCTCCTTGGATATAGGAAATCAAATACCAGATAGTTTAGTCATCCAAGGTAAAAAGGAAGGAAGCTGGCTTTCATCTACAATGATGAAGCAGGATAAATATAAAAATGGATAAAATAGAACATAGATGTTTTTGTATATTTGAGCAGAAAAGCTTTCATACTACACCACCATGTAAAAATTAAAATAAATTTATATATACTTCCACATAAACAAATTTATTTCACATTGTCACTATTTCACAGCCTTTGTAATGACCTAGAGTAGATGTGTCATAAAAAAGCAGTGAAAACACAGAAGATGATTTCCTTTCCCCTTATCCTTTTATAGTCAATCTGTCTACAAGGAAATTTCCAAAAAAGAGATCCCTAGTAAACCATTAAATCAATCACATCACCAAAAGCTTCCTATAATGAAATTATTCATATGTTGACCTTTCGTAACTGGATAGATGTTTATACCCCAAAGGACAGACCTGCATACAGTCACTAAAAGAGTGACACAAATTCTAGGAATTTTAAGACATTATGAGTCATTTACACTATTTCTACCCATGTCACCTTTCTTCTTTAAATTCCAATTAAAACTCAAATGTGGGCTGGCTTACCTAATTTTGTAATTTCTTCAGCAAAATATGGGTCATTCAAATCAACATCGGAGGGAAGTTCATCTTCACTGGCTTCTTCAGCAAGAGCCTTAATGTTGAATATAAAAATACATAGTTTATTACAAGAACCATGAGGAAAAAATCCTATCTTTTTTTCTTTTTTTATATAAGTATTATTTGTTTTAATTTAAATTCAAGTTAGTTAACATATCGTGAAATTTCATCACTTATATAAACACCCAGTGCTCATCTCAAAAAGTGCCCTCCTTAATGCCCATCAACCCATTTAGCCTATCTCCCCACCCACTTCTCCTCCAGCAATTGTCAGTTTGTTCTCTGTATTTAAGTTTCTTAGGGTTTGTTTCCCTTTCTGTTTTAATCTTATTTTTCCTTCCCTTTCCCTGTGTTCGTCTGTTCTATTTCTTAAATTTCACATCAGTGAAATCATAAATTTGTATTTTTCTGACTTATTTTGCTTAGCATAATATACTCTAGTTCCATCCATGTTGTGGCAAATGGCAAGATTTCATTCTTTTTGATCACTGAGTAACATTCTATTTTGTGTGTATACATAGATCTATAAATATGTATACTACATCTTATTTCTTTTCAGTCAAGTAGTTCAATCTAGAATTAAACCAGTTTTAAAATTAGTTTGTAAAATAACTCCCATCTGTGTCATTCTTTTGTTTGCTCAACAAATATTTATGGAATATTTAACAAATGCATAAAACTATGTCGGGTTGTTGAAAGAAGTGAAAGTTATCAGATACATGGTTTCTGTCTTTAAAAATGTTATAATCTGGCACCTGGGTGGCTCAGTAGGTTAAGCATCTAACTCTTGATTTTGACTCAGGTCACAGATCTCACGGTTTGTGAGTTCAAGCCTGGTGTTGGGCTCTGCGCCACCTGTGTGGAGCCTGCTTGGGATTGTCTCTCTCTCTTTCTCTGTGCCTCCCCGACTCACACTCTTTCTCTCTCTCTCTCAAAATAAATAAATTGATTAAAAAATCATAAAACAAATAAAAATTTTACAATCTATAAAAAAATCCAGACATGTAAACAGACACATAAGTTAGTATTAGCAGTTTAAGACAGGAAGTACTAGAAGAGGCAAAAATGAAATGATACAGACATTCAAAAGAGAACACTTTTATGTGGGTGACGAGTGAAGAGGTGGCTTTATCTCTCACAAAATTGATAAATGGCAGTGACTACCAACAGCTTGAATTTATACATTGTGGAATATCATTTAAATAATTATTTATAACAATTTATTTGCTGGGTAAAGAATGTGATTTTTTTATTATGAAAATTATAACATATACAAAAGTAGTAAGGAAAGTTTAATGAAGCCCCTGTTCTTATCAGTTTTAGCAATTATTTTGTTATGTCTATAATCCACTCTTGAAAACTCTTTGGCTATTTTTAAGCAAATGTGTTGGTTAATATTTTTCCTAATCAAATTTGAACAGACTATCTATTAAATTAGAATACTTAAATTAAAATCAAGCCTATAAGGGGCGCCTGGGTGGCTTAGTCGGTTAAGCGTCCGACTTTCACTCAGGTCATGATCTCGCGGTTCGTGGGTTCGAGCTCCGCGTCGGGCTCTGTGCTGACTGCCAGCTCAGAGCCTGGAGCCTGTTTCAGTCTGTGACTCCCTCTCTCTCTGACCCTCTCCTGCTCACGCTGTCTCTCTCTCTCTCTCTCTCTCCTAGAAATAAATAAAAAACATTAAAAAAAAAAATCAAGCCTATAAAATAAGTAGGACATATGTGAACTGAGGTCAGATAAACCAGATTGAGGCTATCTCCAGGAATCTAAAAAAGTGAGTCATTTTACTCTCTCTCTCTCTCTCTCCTAGAAATAAATAAAAAACATTAAAAAAAAAAATCAAGCCTATAAAATAAGTAGGACATATGTGAACTGAGGTCAGATAAACCAGATTGAGGCTATCTCCAGGAATCTAAAAAAGTGAGTCATTTTAACAAAAAAATTTAGACTACATATTGTTAAACATTATCCTGCATCCTAAAGACGACTCATCAAGCCCTAAAAAGTATTCATTTTGATATTCATATCCGTTTAAGAATAAGAGCTTCTATGAATTTTTTTTAATCAAACTCTTAAAATAGATTCAGTAGTATTAAAAGACTTCTAACAAAGAGAATATGGAATAACACATATCTATTCACATATTTCTTCAACTGTTTTTAGATTTAAACTTTAGCGGCACCAACTATTGCATATAAACACATTTTCATTTCTTCAATATATAACTTCAATATATATATTGAAGAAATATATATTTCTTCAATAATAACTTTTCAATGTCAAAACTGAAGTCACAGCAAGGAAAAGGGGTAAAATATTTTTAACATGAAGGAAATTCTTGAAATTCCTCTGTATATGAGAACCTGTGGATGGAAAGGATCTGCTAGAATCCAGCACTGATCCAGTATAGAACAGTGCACCTAGAACAAAATGGCACTCAACAAATATTTTTATTTTTTTTTAACTTTTATTTATTTTTGAGAGTCAGAGAGACAGAGCACGAATGGGGGGAGGAGCAAAGAGAGGGAGACAAAGAATCTGAAGCAGGCTCTGGGCTCTGAGCTGTCAGCATAGAGCCTGACACAGGGCTCGAACCCACGGACAGTGAGATCATGACCTGAGTAGAAGTCGGACACTTAACTGACTGAGCCACCCAGGCGCCCCTCAACAAATATTTTTAATGGTAGTAATAAAATGATTCCAGGCTAAGCCCAATGAAGAAGAGAAAGAGTAAAAGCACACGATAAGCTCAAAGTGCCCAGCAAATGAAAATAGAAGAGAATAGCTACTAACGGTCTCAGAAACAAGTGACTACTTTATTGACCCAAAAAAGACCCACTTATAAGTTTTACAGTACACGGATGGCTTAATAACTTGTGAAATTATTCCATTTAGAAGATATTTTACTTCCTGCTTAGTTTTAAAAGAAGTTCTAAGGAAGAGGGGGGACAGGGCTCTTACCCTTTTCCTCATTTTATTATCTACTTCTAGAAACACTGACTAAATAGAGGAGCATTAAAAATCCCTCCAGTGCATCATTCAATTTTGCAGCCCTCTATCTTCACAAGCACTGAAAGTCACAGCTGCTTATGTAGTATATATAGAGAATACCATATAGTATAAAGGACACTGGAGTGAGAGACCTGGATTCTGGTCTCAGCTTTGGCCGTTAATTAGCTGTGTTTCTACAGATGAATCACTTAATTTTCAACAACTATAAAGCATTAGGGTTGAACTAGAACTAACTTTTAAGATTACTAAAGTTGCAAAATTCTGTGATTACTGATACTATCTTAAGGCACTAACTGTACTGCTAGAATGCTACATTTCAGTGATAAGAAAGCATTTCTGGCAGCAAAAACCATTAAGTTGCCTCTGTTATTATTAAGGACTGAGTGAAAAAGATGTTATCCCCAAATAATGGGAGTCAAATCAAGTTTTTCAAGACAACCTATTAGTACAGAGGAAATATCTTTAATTAAAGAGATTTAATGACAAGATGTTAAAAGATCCATATGATTAATACTGAAAAGTAGGGGTGTCTGGGTGGCTCAGTCGGTTAAGCATCTGACTTCGGCACAGGTCATGATCTTGCAGTTCATGGGTTCGAGCCCCGCATCGGGTTCTGTGCTGGCAGCTCAGAGCCTGGAGCCTGTTTCAGATTCTGTGTCTCCCTCTCTCTGACCCTCCCCTGCTCATGCTCTGTCTCTCTCTGCCTCAAAAATAAAGTATAAAAAAAAATTAAAAAAAAAAAAAATTGTTTAAAAAAATACTGAAAAATGTAAAATGCAGGTTAAGAAATGTAGACAAAAATTCACTCATGTTAAAAATTTCTAAATGTGTATATCCTCAAGTGGAAGAATCTGTATACATATTTCTTTCTCAAAAATAGAAACAGAACCAAACTGTTTTATATGTAGGTATCAGGTAAGCTACCTTTTATTTAGGTAGTATATAAATGTAAAATACTAGAGCACAGTAGTTAAAGTGGCTCTGGGCTTCGATTAGGATTTGTACCTCATTATGTAGCTTTGCAGAAAACACTTATGGTATCGGATTTTCACCTTCTTTCTTAAAATTGTGATAACAAGGCCTACTCTAGTGAGTGGTTATAAGATAACAGATAATGAGCACCTGCTATCTTCTGATAAATGATTGTTGTTCAATAAATATTTACCCAAAAGTATCACTGATACCTTTTGTTTCTTTTTCAGTCTTTTTTTCTCTTTCTTCTTCTCTAAAAATTGTTCCCAAGGGGTCAGTTTATCTTTTCCTTCCAATTTGTTTTTGACCATCTCTTCTGCACTTTCTTTCAGACCTAAGAGAAAACACAAATAGAGTCCAGTTTAAATGTTATTATCTTCATTCAGTTAAAAATGTAATTTACCAAAAAGATCACTTATATATATTTAACAGAGTAATAAAATAAAATGCAATACTGAATTGTGTAACACTCCAAAATCAGAGTAATATAGGATCAACTCATATCAAAGCTATTTCCTAATAGCAAACAATAATAAACTTAACCAAACTAAAATAAATAAGTAAACAAACTCAGTAAGTTGATATACGGTCAAACCACTAACGAAAAACCCTTTATTTAGGTTTACTTCTCTACATTTAATTGCTTTGAGACTCTAAGAAATATCATGGAATAAAATCTTCTCAGGATATAACTACTCATTCATTTTTGATAGCAAATGGTAAGTGGTCTTTAACATAATTATCTCTAATTGCTTGTTGCCCAAATAAAAGACTGCATTCCCTGAAAACTATAGGTGATTATCAAAAATTGATTAGTAAGGCAATCCTTGTTGAAACAGCTCAGGAGGAAATAATACTCATAATCTCTCATCAACCACTGCGAAATACATCCTTAAGAACAAAAAGACAACCAAGTTCTGATCCCACCTTGTATGATTTACCTCTTTCAATGTTGTTATTTGCTCTTGTACTTCATCTCTAAAGGTCTTTATTTCTTATATTCTGCAGTTCCCAATTTGTGTTTCTATGAGGCTTATGTAGTAACTGGACTGAAGTAAGAGTAGGAAAGAAAAAGCCCTGAGGCTGACCTATCCGTTCATGAAGACCCTCACTACTGCCAAAGTAAACGAAATGTGATTACTGGTGTTGTCATTTTTGATAATAATGATGTTTGTTTTATATTATTGTGTTTTTTGGACATCACCATTCAATTTGGGGAGGAGGCAGCTTCAATATTTAGATGACACAATATTCATTTCAGAAAAGCATTAATGGAATGATTCAAAATGTTTTTTAATAATTTTTTTTTAATTTTAATTTTTTAAAACTTATTTCTGAGAAAGAGAGAGAGAGAGAGAGAGAGACTGTGAGCAGGGGAGGGTCAGAGAAAGAGGGAGACACAGAATCTGAAGCAGGCTCCAGGCTCTGAGCTAGCTGTCAGCACAGAGCCTGACGTGGGGCTTGAACCCACGAACCGGAAGATCATGACCTGAACCGAAGTCAGACACTTAACTTACTGAGCCACCCAGGCGTCCCTCAAAATGCTTTCTAATGGAGTCATGGTCAATCCAGATCAGCTTCAGAGATATTTTCTAAATTCTCAGGTGAATACAATCCTAAGGATATAACAATTCTTTTTTTCCCTCTGGTACGCATACTAAGAATAAGAACATACAGCAACTTGCCTAATAACATACAGTTAGGAAGCTACATGATTGTAATTACCTGCTTATTCTCTATCCCATGACCAGATACATCTAAAATGCTGGTCTGACCCAGAGAAAAGAGATGTATATACTGAATAAAAAAAATAAAAAGCTTTGGGCCTCAGGTTCTTTTTCTGGAAAAGGAGGCTGGTCTAGATTTAGAAGCATGCAGCCCTCCTACCCATATATACCTTTTTTTCCCCTGAAAGAAAATACCTGGTAGAAGTCCAAATACATAACAACTAAAAGTAGTGTTTTGGGTCTTGTGCCTCAAAGAACAGCCTGTAACAGCTGGAATAGATGATCTCTAAGGTCCCTTCATTGGTGTTTAAGCCAAGACTTAATCTCCAAATTTCTATGACTTAGAAAAGTATTAAATTATATGCGTACTCAAGGTTATGTAGATTCGTTTTTATGATATACTGCTGGTAAGATCTCTGATTTACTGGATCCCAAATCAGAAACACAACTCTCAATTCAAAGATGTTTCTTATGAGAAAAATACAATTCACTTTACTAACCATTTGTAAGAGAAATGTGAACTGTATAAAAAGATGTCCAGATCTCTGACTGAATCAACAGATACACAGCACTAAGGAATGTAAACTGGGACCCTTATTTGGGAGAAAGCAACAAATCCTGACAAAAGAAGTTGATTTCACTACAAGAAACTCATTTTAGAATGGAGGACACCTTCAGATTGAAAGTAAGGGGATGGAGAAATACATATCATGCTATTGGAAGTCAAAAGAAAGCTGGAGTAGCTATCCTTATATCAGACAAACTGGACTTTAAAGTAAAGACAGTAATAAGGGATGAAGAAGAGCATTATATAATTACAGGGTCTATCCATCAGGAAGAGCTAACAAGTATAAGTGTCTATGCACCGAATATGGGAGCACTTAAATATATAAAACAATTAATCAAAACAGAAACAATCTTATGGAGGAGAATGTGCTAATAGCAGGAGACTTTAATACTCCACTTACAGCAATGGATAGATCAACTAGACAGAAAATCACTAAAGAAACAATGGACTTGAATGACACATTGGACCAGGTGGATTTGACAGATGTATTTAGAACTCTACATCCTGAGGCCGTGGAATTCACTTTCTTCTCAAGTGTGCATGGCACATTCTGCAAGACAGATCACATACTGGGACATAAAGCAGCCCTTAATAAATATAAAAGAACTGAGATCATACCATGCACACTTTCAGATCACAATGCTATGAAACTTGAAATCAATCATAGGATGAAGTCTAGAAAACCTCCAAAAACATGCAACTTAAAGAACACCCTACTAAAGAACAAAAGGGCCAATCAGGCAATTAGAGAAGAAATTTAAAAATATATGGAAACAAATGAACATGTAAATACAACAATCCAAACTCTATGGGATGCGGCATAGGCAGTCCTAAGAGGAAAGTACACTGCAGTCCAGGCCAATTTCAAGAAATTAGAAAAAGTGCAACTACAAAATCTAACAGCGTACCTAAAGGACCTAGGTGGAGAGCAACAAGAGCACCCTTAGGAGAAGAGAAATGACAAAAATCAGGGCAGAAATAAACAATATAGAAACCAAAGAACAGTTGAACAGATCGATGAAACCAAGAGTTGGTTTTTTGAAAATATAAACACAATTGACAAACCTCTAGCCAGGTTTCTCAAAAACAAGAGAGAGATCACTCAAATAGGTAAAATCATGAATAAAAATGGACTTATTACAACCAACCCCTCAGAAAGACAAGCAATTATCAGGAATACCATAAAAAATTATATACCAACAAATTAGACAACTTAGAAGAAGCACACTCACTACCAAAATTCACACGGGAAGAGATAGAAAACCTGAACAGACCCATAGCAAGTGAGTAAATCAAATCAGTAATCAAAAATTTCAGAACAAACAAGAGCCCTGGGCCAGATGGCTTCTCTGGGGAATTCTACCAGACATTTAAAACAGAATTAATACCCATTCTCCTCAAACTATTCCAAAAAACAGAAATCGAAGGAAAACTTCTGGACTCATTTTATGAAGCCATCATCACTTTGATTCCCAAGCCAGACAGACCCAGCAAAAAAGAGAACTACAGGCCAATATCCTGGATGAATACAGACGCAAAAATCCTCAACAAGATACTTGTAAATCGAAATTGGGATGTCCACTCTCACCACTGTTGTTTAACATACTGCTGGAAGTCCTGGCATCGGCCATCAGACAACAAATGAAAATAAAAGGCATCAGAATTGGCAAAGAAGAAGTCAAACTCTCACTTTTTGCAGATGACATGATACTCTACATAGAAAACCTGACAGACTCCACCAGAAGCCTACTAGATCTGATCCATGAATTCAGCAAAGCTGCAGGGTACAAAATCAATGTACAGAAATCGGATGCATTCTTTTTTTTTTTTTAAATATTTTTTTATTTATTTCTAGGAGAGAGAGAGACAGCGTGAGCAGGGGAGGGTCAGAGAGAGAGGGAGACACAGACTCTGAAACAGGCTCCAGGCTCCGAGCCGGCAGTCAGCACAGAGCCCGACGCGGGGCTCGAACCCACAAACCGCGAGATCATGACCCAAGCGAAAGTCGGACGCTTAACCGACTAAGCCACCCAGGCGCCCCTTGGCTGCATTCTTATACACCAATAATTAAGCAACAGAAAGAGAAATCAGGAAACTGATCCCATTCACAATTGCAGAAAAAACCATAAAATACCTAGGAATAAAATCTAACCAAAGATATAAGAGATCTGTATAATGAAAACTATAGAAAACTTATTTCTATACGTTCAAAGGAAATTGAAGAAGACACCAAGAAATGGAAAAACATTCCATCCATTCTCATTGATTGGGAGAATAAATATTGTTAAAATGTCATTACTACCCAAATCAATCTATACATTCAATGCAACCCCAGTCAAAATTGCAACAGCATTCTTTTCAAAGCAGAACTATCCTAAAATTTGTAAGGAACCACCGAAGACCCTGAATAGCCCAAGTAATATGGAAGAAGAAAACCAAAACTGGAAGCATCACCATCCCAGACTTTAGCCTCTACTACAAAGCTGTCATCATCAAGACAGTAAGGTATTGGCACAAAAACAGACACATAGACCAATGGTATGGAATAGAGGAACTCAGATTTGGACCCAAAAGTGTACAGCCAACTAATCTTTGACAAAGCAGGAAAGAGTATCCAATGGAAAAAAGACAGCCTCTTTAACACATGGTGCTGGGAAAACTGGACAGCAACATGCAGAAGAATGAAACTAGATCATTTTCTCACACCATACACAAAAATAAACTCAAAATGGATAAAGGGGACCTGAATGTGAGACAGGAAACCATCAAAACCCTAGAGGAGAAAGCAGGAAACAACGTCCTTGACCTCAACCACAGCAATTTCTTACTTGACACATCTCCAAAGGCAAGGGAATCAAGAGCAAAAATGAACTATTGGGACCTCATCAAGATAAAAAGCTTTTGCACGGCAAAGAAACAATCCATAAAACTAATAGGCAACCCACAGAATGGGAAAAGATAGCTGCAAATGACATTATCAGATAAAGGGCTAGTATCCAAAGTCTATAAGGAACTTCTAAACTCCACACCTGAAAAACA